AGACGAGAGGCGGGGGTCGAGGGTCGAAAGGAAAAGGACGCGGGGCGAGGGTCGTGGGGCGAAGGGCGTTTGGCGAAGGGTGAGGGGCGAGGGGCGGTGGGCATGAGGCGTGGGCGGCGTGGGTGGAGGCGGCGGGGGCGATAGCGACGAGGGCCGTGACCCACGCACACAGGCAATTACGCGCCATTGTGCGGGCGTTGGCCGCGCCGCCCGGGGCGACCAGGGAAGCAAAATGAGGGGGGGAAGGGGGCGGCAGGAGGAGAAGCGCCGGATCGTAGAAGCTTCATTGAAATTATACTCTGGAATGAACACGTCCAGAAGATAGTCGGTGATTAATTGGGGTTGAAGATCAATGAGGTGAGCTCAACAACGCATCGATGGAAACTACAAAACATTCAAAATACGAGTATAGGCAAAGAAAAATTGGGAGTAATTGAAATTCTTCATCGAATTCCTGTTCAATAAAGCAATAAATATTCTGGTTCAGTGACTGCAGAAACTTGGTTCTGGAATAAACATATCTATAAATTAACTAACTGAATGAGCTTAGTTTCTTGCATTATTTTTCAAAAATATATTTGAATTTCAATGTATCGTGACGTTCCGGAAGCGATATATTACAATTTAATTTTTTCATGAAGAACGGTTCATTCTTTATAATATGTGACGGTTGTATAAATTCAAGACTTATTCTACTTTGAAAGTACTATTTTTTCTATCTGAAACAAATTTCAAATATTCTTGTAGGTACTGAGAGAATGACGAGGAATACTTTGTACATAAGCATTACCGTTCAAGATTACTAGGCAGATAAACAGTCTGTGCGTCATAACAGCAGTGAACGCGGCATATTCTCAATTTCTGTTTTATTTTGAAGAAAAAAATATGTAATACAATGAATAATAAAACGCAAAACATATTATGAAAGTAGAGAAATTAATCTAAAATTGTAGAGATTTGGTGAGAGGACTCAAAGTCATAACAATGAAGCATCATAATATATTAAATTAGTTCCTCGTCGATTGTAACTTCCAAGAACATGGTTACAAAATTCGTCTATTGCGTCTATTAAGAAGTAAAAAAAAAGGATTCATGCATACATCACACTGTATGCTGACTGGCGAGGATGTATTTAATTTCGCGATAAGGGGCATTTACTCGAAATGGAAAACGAGAAATATAACCGTACGCATTTTCTTTGACATCTGTGTAAACTTTCAATATTACAAATTATTACTTGAAGAATACAAAATATGAAAGAAGCCAAAAAGGTTTTCCTTAATTTTTACTTTTCCGCACGTACTTCGTAAGAAGAGCAAGTATTTTAATCGTGCGCCGGAAAGCGGAGGTTTCTTGGCAATAAAACTCTTCTTGCCAGGCCCTGGTAACAAAAAGTAGGTAAATCCTGTTCTTATATACAGTAAATTACTTCTTTTAACAAGTGGTGTAGACAGAATCCATGTTATGTAGATGTTTGATATCGGAAAATAGATTGACGGCAAAACGTGTCTGTCTATGTCGCTCCGTCCGTCCATCCATCCGTCTATTCGTCTGTAGGCAACGGTAAAAAACATCGAACACGAATTTTCGAAAACTATAAAACTTGCATATTGGATATATTGGGTTGAGGCAATTATATTTTTTAACCTCCGCCTGAGTTCGAGCCTCACGGGGCTTCAGTAGTATAGTCCTATAGTTGACGGCGACTCAACGCGGAGGACCTGCATTCGAGTCTCGGTGCAGAAAAAAATGCTGGTTGAAAACATTTTTGCATGTTTATATAAAAGTATAATATAGCGGAGTAGTTAAAAATAACGCGAGAAAGTATGCACTATTGTAGCACAACTAATTAGTCATGCACCCATTGGGATATTTGTCTACCGAAGATAAGTTTGCAGATGTTTTCGTTTGCGTAGATTGCCAGAAGGCAGGCGTGAAAGAACTGTCGGAACTTTGGTTTCCCATTGCAAATCTCCCGAGAGACGGTGTTGGCTAGTGGGCGCGGAAAAAACCGCCAAATTGGTTGCAGCGAGTACATTTGCGAAAATAATCTACCATATTAATCCTTAACTATCACTTCCTCTCTCTGTCATATTTTCTTTTATGAGTACCATTTTCCAGATGACTCAATATTGTTTAAATATTGAATCTGTGTTTAATTATTTTAGGATTTTATTGGTTCATACCTATGTACTTACATTTTAATTGTAAACCGTGTTGTTCTGCTCTCATATGCCTGCTGAAGAAGTAACACGTTACGAAACTTGGAAAACTAAAATATTTTTCATTTATCATCCCAACATCCTATTAACTACGTTTAAATACTGTCAACACCAAGTCATGATTTCAGCTACACATAAATACAATAACTCAATGATTGAATAAACAAATATCCAACCAACAATCATTCGGTGCCGTAGGGGTTTCTTAAAATTCACTTCGTAAACTTGAGTAACTTTAGAAAGCTTCCTTCCCGAGGAGAACTCTTCAAATATTCGCGTTTTCGCGGGACGCCAGGAAGCAGACTTTCGTGTCCCCACACCCGCACCCGTGCCTGCGTTCCCATTGTAGGTTGGTCGAGGCGAAGTCGGGGTGGGCGGCGGCGCGGGCGCGGACGGAGCGGGGCGACGTGGGGAGCGGAGGTGAACGCCGCGATATTGGATAGCGCCAGCACACAGCGCCCCCGGACAAGCGAGCGAGGCGGCGGTGACGGCGGCGGTGGTGGAGACGGAGTGACGGGGTTTAATGAACCTTCAAACTAGGTTCTCGTCAACACAAAATTATGTTTGCAATAGGATCTAACAGTTAGTTGTATGTATCTAGTAAACCATTATAAAACCCGTAATAATAGCTATGTACAAACTACATCACGCAGTACCTCGGTGAAGGGTATCTCGGTGGTGGAATGGCGGGGTGGTGGCGTGTTTGGGTATCATTGTGGCAGGATGAAGTGACGGAGTGGCGGGTGATGGGTGGCGGGTGATGGGTGGCGG